TGGGGATCAAACCCAGGGCCTTGTATACACCATGCACTATTGATCTATAGCCCCAGCCAACGCAGGCAACCCTTTCTCAATTATAGTCCCACTCCATGAAATGCCCTCTCACACACAATAGAACCCTTTCTCTGCCCCGTTATGTCATAGCCTTCCGAACACCCTTTGAAGTAATCATCCTTAATATATCTCCTGATGTTCTTTCTCTGGTATTCTTTTTCATATCCTGCTCCAGTTCCCTCTGACCAGTAGCATCTCCCTTTCTGATTTTCTTTTCAAAAACCTCAGGCCAATACTGGCAAGTCTTGGGGGGTCCAGTGTCCAGGCTGAGTATTGGGACAGAACAGGCAATGCTGGGCACACACACCATGGAAGTGACTGTCTACCATCACCGTGGATCCCAGAGCTACGTGCCCCTTGCTCGCTCCAGCTCAGCCTTCACCATTACTGGTAAGGGTCTAGGAATTGGCAAAGCCAGCAATAGAGCAGGAGAATATGGAGAGGCTTGGGTGGACTGGAGGGAAGAGAGGAAATGGTGTGCTACCTTCAAGGGGCAGGGCCAGGAAGACCTTAGCAGAGGAATGTGGGGTTTAGAACCAGTGAATTGTCAGATACTACCAGCTTCTGGGTTAGATGGTATGGCTATGAAAGGAGAAGCTCTGGCCCAGGTTTGGTTCTCACCTTTTCTGGCTCCAATCCCAGACCAGGTACCTTTCTCCGTGAGCGTGTCCCAACTACAAGCCTTGGATGGAGGGAACAAACACTTCCTGAGGAAGCAACCTCTGACCTTTTCTCTTCAGCTCCATGACCCCAGTGGCTATTTGAAGGGGGCTGACCTCTCTTATACATGGAACTTTGGAGATGGTACTGGGACTCTGATCTCTCGGGCACTTGTGGTCACTCATACTTACCTGGAGTCTGGCCCCGTCACTGCTCAGGTGGTGCTGCAGGCTGCCATTCCTCTTACCTCCTGTGGCTCTTCCCCACTTCCAGCCACAACAGATGGGAATATGTCAACTGCAGAGGTTCCTAGCACCACAGTTGGGCAAGTGCCTACTGCAGAAGTTATAGGTACTACACCCAATCAGGTACCAACTACAGAGCCGTCTGGAACCACAGCTGTGCAGGTGCAAACCACAGAAGTCATAAATGCCACATCTGTGCAAATGCCAACTGCAGAGGGAACAAGTACTACACTGCAGCAGCTACCAACCTCAGAGGTCATAGATACCACACTTGCAGAGGTGTCAACTACAGAGGTTATAGATACTACACCTGTAAAGATGCCAACTGCAGAGCCCTCTACAAAGGTGACAGCTATAGAGTTGGTGGAGACCACAGCTGAAAAGATACCAACCCCTGAGCCTGAGGGTCCAGATGCTAGCCCATTCATGTCTACAGAAGGTACTACAGGTAAGAGGACCAGTGTAGGGTTGAGGTTGTGGCCCAGTGGTAGAGTATGTGCTTAGCACATGTGAGGCCCTGGGTTCAATCCTCAGCACCACATAAAAAGATAAATAAATAAAAATAAAAGGGGGCTGGGGCCGGGCATAGTGGTGCACACTTGTAATCCCAGTGGCTCAGGAGGCTGAGGCAGGAGGATCTCAAGTTCAAAGCCAGACTCAACAAGAGCACTAAGCAACTCAGTGAGATCATGTCTCTAAATAAAATTCAGAATGAGGCTGGGAATGTGCCTCAGTGGTCAAGTGCCCCTGAGTTCAATCCTCAGTACCAAAAAAAAAAGGGGGGGTGGTGCTTGAGTGGTAGAGTGCTTGCCTAGCATGTGTGATGCACTGAGTTCGATCCTCAGCACCACATAAAAAATAAATAAATAAAAATATGTGTCCATCTACAACAACAACAAAAAATTATTTAAAAAAAAGCGGGGGGCTGGGGATGTGGCTCAAGGGGTAGCGCGCTCACCTGGCATGCGTGCGGCCCGGGTTCGATCCTCAGCACCACATACAAACAATGATGCTGTGTCCGCCCATAACTAAAAAAATAAATATTAAAAAAAAAAAAGGGTATTGGGCTCAAGTGGTAGCGCGCTCGCCTGGCATGCGTGTGGCCCAGGTTCGATCTTCAGCACCACATACAAACAAAGATGCTGTGTCCGCCGAAAACTAAAAAAATAAATATTAAAAAATTTTTAAAAAGGGTATTGTGTCCATCTACAGATAGATAGATAGATATCTAGATAGATAGATAGATAAAGCGGGGGAGGAAGAGAGAGAGGAGACACACACACACACACACACACACACACACCAGTGTGCATGAGGTTCATTGAGAAGGGATATTTCTTACTTCTCTACTCTGAAAGTCTTACCCAGATGTTATCTAATCCTGTTTAACACTGTGATCTCCTCAGAGTTCTTACTAGCTCTAAAGCCCTCAAGCGTCTCTTGACATGCAAGAGATTTGGAGTTCAGTTATCTGGGGTCTTCCCCAGTATATGAGGAGAGAGCTTGTTGCTTTTCTACCCCTGAGAACAGCTGGGAAGGCCAGGGAACAGACTGTGATCATTTACATATTTATATCACATTTTCTGTTCAAGCATAAATGCACAGAAATCTTTCTCAGATTCTAAGACTCTGATCCTACCATTTTCCACTCCTAGATTCTTGTCCCAAAGTGAAAACAGAAGGGATGAGTTAGTGATGTTTAAATGAGCTACATCAAGTATCTAGCCTAGGACCTAGCGTAATGTGGGGTATGATAAATATTTGGGAGACTTTTTGAAAACTACAACTCTTGCCTCTAACCTTGTGACTCTAAGGCAGTAATTTTCTTCTTCTGGGCTTCAGTTTATTTATCTATAAAATGATATTTCTGCTGGGTGCAGTGGTGCAAGCCTATAATCGCAGCGGCTCAGGAGGCTGAGGCAGGAGGATTGCAAGTTCAAAGCCAGCCTCAGCAACAGCGAGATGCTAAGCAACTCAGTGAGACCCTGATTCTAAATAAAATACAATATAGGGCTGGGGATGTAACTCAGTGGTTGAGTGCCCCTAAATTCAATCCCAAGTACCCCCAAAAAAAGATATTTCCAAGATCTTGTCTGACTTAAAGCCAGTAATTTCAGGATCCAGTAGCTCTACTTGGGAAAATGTCTGCTTGGCCTCTTCCTCCAAGTGAGTCTTCTTATCTGTCTCTTAACCTTGCCTCCTCAATCCTCTCCTGCCAGGGTCCCTGAGCCCTCCGCTGGATGGCACAGATACCTTAATGCTGGTGAAGAGACAAGTCCCCTTGGATTGTGTTCTATATCGATATGGTTCCTATTCTCTCACCCTGGATATTGTCCGTAAGTCTTGCTTACCCTGGGGGTTGATGAAGAAAGGTATATGCTGCCCAGTACCATCAAGTGGGAGCATACCTTGAGAGGAATTATTTACCCAGACAGAAAGAATGCCCCAATGACAGGGTCCTCCTTTGAAGACAAAGGGATGGGATTGGGAGAGTAGCCCTACGGCTTTCCTCTCTATGGACCTGCAGAAGGAATCCCAACTTATACCTTGCAATTCTACAGAGGGCATTGAGAATGCTGAGATCCTGCAGGCCGTACCATCCAGTGAAGGGGATGCATTTGAGCTGACTGTGTCCTGCCAAGGCGGGTGAGTATCCTGATGATTGCTCTGATGATTCTTGAGTTGACCATTGATCTCTGGAGTCATGTCCCTTCCAAGATCCCCTGATGCAAGATGATCCTTATTCTAGGCTGCCCAAGGAAGCCTGTTTGGATATTTCATCACCAGGGTGCCAGCCTCCAGCCCAACGTCTGTGCCAGCCTGTGCCACCAAGTCCAGCCTGCCAGGTGGTTCTGCACCAGGTACTAAAGGGCGGCTCAGGGACCTACTGCCTCAATGTGTCCTTGGCTGATGCCAACAGCCTGGCAGTGGCCAGCACCCAGCTTATCATGCCTGGTACGTATTTAGATATAAGATAGGATGAAGGGGAATGGGCAGAGGCCAGAAGGGAGGGAGAAGACACTGTATGAAGCAGTGCCTGGGATTCTGTTCACAGGTCAAGAAGCAGGCCTTGGGCAGGTTCCCCTGCTTGTGGGTATCTTGCTGGTGTTGATGGCTGTGGTCCTTGCATCTCTGATATATAGGTGAGAACCCCACCATCTAGCCCAGACCCGCAATCCTTTATTACACCTCTTCCTCTTCCTTAAGGGGAAAATGAACTACCATTCCCTTTGAGGAAGCATGGTGTCTAGGAAAGAGTCCAGGAATATAAGTTAGAAAGACCTAGGCTGCAGTCTTTCTTGTGGGATACTGGGGAAATAGCTTAAAATTTCTGAGCCTCTGAGATATAAGAAAAACAATGCCTTCCCTGTGGGACTGTTGTCAGGATTAGAAACAATGTGAGTAAACCACCTGGCAAGAGTGCACCAATTGAGGACATTGATAACTGTTGTTAATATTCTATGTGTAGCACTTTTGAGAGGGGCAGATCCCCAGGCCAAGGTCTTCAAAGCAGGGAAGTTTATAGGTAAAGGAGAGAGGTTACCATAGAAATAAGAGACGATGAATCCTGGAGTTGGGAAGAAGGGAAAGGAGCTAGAATTAAGGCCAAGCATGGGATATGGGTGTGTCCCTTCTTTGGAGAAGCACAGATAATTGGCCTTTGTCCATTGCTAACCATTTCCCCCCCTTCTCTCAATATCAGGCGCAGATTTATGAAGCAGGGCTCAGCTCTCCCCATTTCCCAGCTGCCACACAGTAGCACTCACTGGCTACGTCTGCCCAGGGTCCTCCGTGCTTGCCCCACTGGTGAGAACAGTCCACTTCTCAGTGGGCAGCAGGTCTGAGTACTCTCATATGATGATATGATTCTCCTGGGGTTGACAGGAATGCCTGTCTTTTCTGCAGTCTTTCCTTGGAGACCACCATTACCTGAAATAAATACTTGGAACTTGGTGCTGTTTTTCTTGCTTTCTTGAGATCAGTCTTTTAAGGCATGAAGGTGGAAAAGAAGGAGGTGTATCACTTAACAGATAACCCAGTAAAATAAAAGTCACTTTATTTAGAAGAGGCACTTTTAACATATGTGTGGTGTATGTGCATATATGTATGTGGGTGGGGGACAGGTGAATCAGGATAATAAATACTGTGGGGGCAAAGGAATACTCCCCTGAACTAGCAGGAGGATGTGGCAGCAATGTACAGAGCCTAGGGGGTGGAATTCAGGGACAGGGAGGTGGATTCAAGGCTAGGTTGGAGGCTAAGTGGGACAAGAAAAGAAGCCAAAGAAATTGGAGGAGCGGGGTGGTGGGCCCATGAGCATGGGCATCTGGTTCTTGTGCGTGATCTTGATCTAGAAGGGAAGGGAAGGGAGCATGTTCAGAGGCTGAATCTGATACCTTGGAGATGGAACAAAAGGATTTGGGGGAAAGATGTGGCACTGTTGGTGGGTTTCTGGGGTTCTGGGGAGATCATGGTAGGGAGCCAGTCTGAGAAATCAGAGTTTTAGAGGAAGGGTATCAAGGGGAACTTTGGGTATTGGGAGGAAGTCAAGAAGGTTGTGGGATGGAAATTGAGGATCCATGGAGCCTGAGGATTCTGTTTTTGGCAGGCATAGACAATACTTACTGTACAGGGTGTCTGTATCCAGGGTTCCCCGTCAATTTGCATGGGGAGGGTTTTTATGGTGCTGTGGGAGATCGAGGAAGATTGGTATAGATTTTTTACTGACCAAATATCAAGACTCTGTTCCCCTTGACCCTGAGACCCTTTGTCACTGAGGATGATCTCTAGCCCTTCCCACTATTCCCATGCCCTCTTCCCTTCTTCCCTCAGGCTGCTGACTGGAATCTTCCTTACTGAATGGTGATCTCAGAGCACTTGGCCAGCCGATGTCCAGCACTCTTGAGCTTGGTATAGATCTGGCCCATTTCAATTGCACCCTCCAGCCCCACTACTTCCAGTCGTTTGTCACTTGGGTCTGCAGTGAGAAATAGGGAGATAAGTTTTATAGAGGCAGTGTTTTCCCAAAGGGAGTCACACTTTCCCCTTAGTCCTGCCCACTCAACTCCTCTCACCTTGTACACAAGTTTTCAGGATATCAGGGTCAGTGATGACTTTAGCTGTTGTGCCCAAGGCCTGGTTGATCTCACAGCTATCCCCATGGGGTCTCTTGATATCACCCCAGAGGTTGGAGCCACCGTGCATGCTAGGTATGTTCAGCACTGCGATGCCTTCTAGGGACATGTTACTCAGATCCAGCGGTTTCCCACAGATCTGAGGGGAGTGGGGCACAACCCCAGTTGGGAAGAGCACAGATCCTCACCTCATGTTATAATCATGGATGTAACTGTTCCCTTGACTATGTAACAAACTAGGAAGGCCAGGATTTGGAGGTTTGTAAGAGATGAAAGAAAAAAGGAACTAGTGCATCTTGAGGACTTAGGAAGTCAAGGTTGGAGAGCTGGGAGGTCAAAGAAGTATAAGTTCAAGAATATGGGAAGTAGGGGCTGGGGTTGTAGGTCAGTGGCAGAGGACTTGCCTAGCACATGTGAGGCACTGGGTTTGATCCTTAGCATCACATAAAAAATTTAAAAAATAAAATAAAGGCATTTTAAAGAAGAAGAAGAATATGGGAAGTTCCTCGGGGTGCCTGTGCAGGGAAATGCTTGGCTATAAGAAGCAGAAAGGACGTAGAGTAGGGTCTCATCATACATACCTCAACTGTCAAAGACTCCTCCAACTTTTTGCATGTTGAGAAGATGGATTCAGATGTGGCAAATTCGAAGTACCATAGCTTGTTCTTCATTCTGTAACAGCCCCAGCACAAGGCCCAGTAGGGAGGGAACAGGTTATACAGTGGTGGTAGAGGTGGTAAATAACAGGGAAGAGCATCAATCTCCCAACTCCAAGGGGAACAAGGGTAGCTTTATTTTTCAGAGGTGCGGGGTTTCCTAGAGGTATCACTGCCCATCTAAACATTCTGAGTCAAACTTGGTCACAAAGCCAGTCCCTGACACCATGTATGCCCATGCTCCTCCCCTTTTTCCTTCACCTGCTATTGAACTTCTCAGGATATTTCTCTCGCATGATGTGAAATCGGTGAGCAATAGAAGCATCCTGGAGAGTTAAGGGCATATGATATCAGAAACTGGCCTAATCTCAGAGCATATTCATGTTCGTGTTCTCTCTCTGTCTCTCCCTCCCCCCCTCCCCCTCTCCTGCCTCTCCAGTCTAGGTGCAGCATGTTCCACATGTTCCACATTCTTTATTTGCAACTCACACCACTATACCCCATTTCTAATTTCCCCATATCACTGCTTCTTTAACCTCTCCCTTCCCTTTCTGTCCTCCTCCAGCCTCTGCCTGCTTAACCCCCACTTCCACCCTTCCCTCTGTGCCCCAGTCTACTGACCACACCAATGGAGAAGTAGTTATTGATGATTTGAAAGGGGACTGGATCAGTCTTTTCTTCAGTTTGTTGGGGTATCACTTCCAGGGACCATCGATCTATATATACCACCGTACTCATCTCTAATTCCCTGAGAATCTTTGCCAAATTCTCTCCTTCATACCCTAAAGGTGGAAGAGAAGACAGATTAGCACTGAGCCCTGAGTCTTCCAGAGCCCTCCTCTTATCCCCAGATCTGCAAATCTCCAAGAACCCTCTGCTCTGGTTCTGCAGAATCTCCTAGCCATCAACAGTGAAAGGGTAGGGGGCTGGGGATGTGGCTCAAGCGGTAGCGCGCTCGCCTGGCATGCGTTCGGCCCGGGTTCGATCCTCAGCACCACATACAAACAAAGATGTTGTGTCCGCCGAGAACTAAAAAATAAATATTAAAAAAAAAAAAAATCCCCCCCTCTTTCAAAAAAAAAAAAAAAAAAACCACTGAAAGGGTAGGATGTGCAGCCTCTGTGGACCAAGGTTAAGAGGGGTCAGCCTTGCTGGGAATGGTGGGGCACACCTGTAATCACAGTGGCTTGGGAGGCTGAGGCAGGAGAATCTCAAGTTCAAAGCCAGCCTCAGCAATTTGACGATGCCCTAAGCAACTTAGTGAGACCCTAAAACTTTAAAATTAAAAGGGCTAGGGATGTGGCTCTGTGTTTAAGCACCCCTGGGTTCAATCTCAGGTATAAAACAAACAAAAACAGCTACAAAATTCATCTGGAGAATTGGAGAGAACAGCTAGGAAAATGCTGAAAAAGATGAGTAAAAAATGGGGACAGTCTCCCTCACTCCCTCATGCTTTCTTGCTTCATTCCACCAGGAAGAACACAGAATAAAGGAAGTATCTAAACAGTATGATACTGGCACAGTGACTAGAATAAGCAATTTAATGGTAAAGAATAGAGCTGGGAATGGTGATGCACAACTGTAATCCCAGCTATGCAGGAGGTCAAGGCAGGAAGACTGCAAGTTGGAGGACAGCCTCAGCAACTTATTGAGACCCTGTCTCAAAATAAAACATAATCTGGGAATGTAGCTCATTGGTAGGCTTGCCCAACATGTGCAGGGCCCTGGATTCCATCCCTAGCATCACAAAAATAAATAAATAAATAAACAAATAAATAAATAAAAATTAAATTAAATAATAAGGATAAAATAAAATAAAAAAATAACTGAGGAGGATTTAGCTCAGTGCCCAGGTATTCAATCCTCAGTAAAAATAATTTTTTTTTTTAAAAGGGCTGAGGATGTAGCCCACTGGTAAGAGTAGTTACCTAGCATGTAAGAGGCCCTATTCTTAGAACTTAAAAAAAAAAATAGTTTTCCAAATAGATTTCAACAGATTTGGGAATTTAGCATACTACAACATTTCAAATAAATGGAGAAAAATAAATTATTCAGTACATGGTACATGGTACTAGATGAAGAAGTCTTTTTTTTTGTCCCCAGGGATTGAACCCAGGGGCACTTAACCACTGAGTAACATTCCCAGCTCCTCGCCTTTTTTTTTGTATTTTATTTAGAGACAGGATCTCACTGAGTTGTTTAGAGCCTCACTAAATTGCTAATTGCTGAAGCTGGTTTTTTTAATTTTATTTATTTATTTATTTATTTATTTTGAGAGAGAGAGAGAGAGAATTTTTAAAATATTTTTTAGTTTTTGGCGGACACAACATCTTTGTTTGCACGTGGTGCTGAGGATCGAACCCGGGCCGCATGCATGCCAGGCAAGCGTGCTACCTCTTGAGCCACATCCCCAGCCCTGAAGCTGGTTTTGAACTTGTCATTCTCCTGCTACAGCCTCCCAAACTGCTGCGATTACAGGTATGCACCACTGTGCCTGGATAGAAGTCACTTTTTAAACCAATCTGAAGCAAAAAAAGCAAGTATGAAAAACTAAAGCAGTAGGGTTGGGGATACAGCTTCATGGTAGAGTACTTGTCTAGCATGTGCAAGTACCTGGGTTCAATCCCCAGTAAACAAAATAAGCAAAAACAAACAAGCAAACAAAAAACAGGATTTGTACTAGAAGAAAAATGAGTGAATTTCTTTTATAATCCTTGGATGAAAAGGTCTTTATAAAGCATAATAGAGCTGGGGTTGTGGCTCAGAGGTAGAGTGCTTACCTAGCATGCGTGAGCCACTAGGTTAGATCCTCAGCACCACATAAAAATAAAATAAAGGTATTGTGTCCACCTACAATTAAAAAATAAATGTTTTTTTAAGCATAATACAAACCTAGGTGCCAAAGAAGATGGATAAATATAATTATATTAAAATTTAAAACTTTTGGCCAGGTGCTGCATGCCTGTAATCCCAGCGGCGGGAGACTGAGGCTGGAGGATTACAAATTCAAGGTAAGCCTCAGCAACTTGATGAAGTCCTAAGCAACTTAGCAAGACCCTGTCTCAAAATTAAAAAAAAATTATAAAGGGCTAGGGATGTGGCTCAGTGGTTAAGTGTTCCTGGATTTAATTCCTGGTATTAAAAAAAACAAAAACTTTTGTATGGTTAAATAAACACACACCTAAAAAAATATAAAAACAAGGCTAAAAGGCACATACATAATATGATTAACTTTCCCAACATTCAAAAAAATGCTTATAGAACTAGGAGTGTAGCTCAGTGGTAGAGCACTTGCCTAGCATGCCTGAGGCCCTGGGTTTGTTTCCCAGAACCACCCACACCAAAAAAAAAAAAAAAAATTACAAATCACTATATTAAAGTCAATAGAAAAATGGGAAGTAATGCAAATAAGCCTATCACAGAAGAAATACAAATGGCCAATATGCACAAGAAAGATAATCAATATTACTAATAATTCAAAGAAATGTAAAATGATTAGTTAACTTTTTGTTAATCAAATTAACAATTTATAAGAAGATTAAGAAAACTGTTTATGAGTTTATGAGTAAACTGTCATTCTCATTTGTTGTTAGTTGGAGCATGAAATAATAACTCAGCCAGGCACAGTGGCACAGCTACTCAGGAGGCTAAGGCAGGATGATCACAAGTTTGAGGCCAGCCTTGTCTAGCCTCAGCAACTTAGTGAAACCCTGTCTCAAAATAAAAAATAAAAAAGATTGGGGCTGTAGTCAGTGGTAAAGCATCCCTGAGTTCAATCTTCAGTAACCAATAAATAAAATAATATAGCTCAGTGGTTGAGTATCCTTAGGTTCAATCCCCAGAACTGTAGGAAAATAAAAAACAAAAACACCTCATCTTTGGAAGGCAATTTGGCAATTTTTAATCAAAGCCATTTCAAATTTGATCAAAACAGCTAGGCATGGTAGCACTTTATAATTCCAGCTACTCAGGAAGGTGAGGCAGGAAGATCTTAAGGTTGACCAGCCTGGATCACTTAGGGAGATCCAGTCTCAAAACCAAAAATAAACAGGGCTGTAGGTATAGCTCAGTATGGGATTCAATCCCAGAACCATGTGCACACCAAAAAAAAAAAAAAAAAAAAAAAAAATATATATATATATATATATATATATATATATATATATATATATATATTGTTTTGACAAAACAATTACTTTTAGGAATTTCTCCTACAGAAATTAATGCACATGTACAGAGATGGATCTTTGTTGATGTGCTCTCTGAAATACTGGAAACAATCTAAATGTCCACCAGTAAGGGAAGGCCATATAAATTATGGCAAATTCATGGAATACTGTACAGATATTGGATATAGAGTGAAATCTATCTATATGTACTAGCATGGAAAGATTTCCAAGATATATTCAATGAAAAAGAAGTACTAGAACAATCTGTCTAGTGTGATTCCATTTATTTGTTAAAACTTCATATGTGTGGGTACACATACGTGTATACATATAAAAACACAAAAATTATGTTGGACATGGTGGCACACTCCTGTGTAATCCCAGCTACATGAAGGCTGAGGCAGGAGGATCACTTGGACCCAGGAGTTTTAGGACAGCCTAGGTAATTTAGGGAGATCCATCTCAAATAAATAAAATTTAAAAATAAAAGAACCTTACATGGCAAAAGAGACTGTATTTAAAAGAGACTGTGATTAAATTAAGGATCTTGAATGAGAGATTATCCTGGATTATCTGGATGGTCCCAATGTAATCACAGGGGTCCTTAAAAGTGAAAGAGGAAGGCAGGAGTGAAGAGTCATAGAAGAGGTGACAACAGAAGCAGAGATCAGAGTGATAACATTGCTGGTTGGAAGTGGGACCACAGCCAAGGGATGTAGGCAGACATTAGAACCTGGAAAAGGAAAGGTGAATGATTCTTCCCTGGGCTCTCAAGAGAAAAACAGTTCTGCCACTTCCTTGATTTTAGCCCAGTGAGTCCTATTGTGGACTTATGACTTTCCAGAACTGTAAGACAATAAATATGTGTTGCTTTAGGCCAGCATTTATGGTAATTTGTAACAGCGAGAAATGGGAAACTAATAAAGATTATTTAATAATTCCTCTTTTTCTGCTCAGCCATTAAATATGGTGTTTACTAGGATCTTGCTATCCTTATCTCCTTGGGTAATCTCATCTCCTGTTAGGCTATCAACTACCAGCACTGGGAATAGATGACTCTCCAAGGTGTATCTCTATCCCTGATTTTTCTTCTAAATTCCTATTAGAAATAGACATCGATTTCTATCTTCCTACCACATGATCTCCATCTGGTTGCTCCAATGACACCTCAGCTCAACATGTCCAAAAGTAAATCTATCTTTCTTAAAATGGTCTTGCTTACATAGTCCCCATCATAACAAATGGCACCCCCATCTGCTCAGCTCAGTCTCTAAACCTAGAAAGTGTTCTATGCTTATCTCTACCTCCTCCTCAGTAATCCAGCAGATATCAAATGCTGTTGCTTCTATCTCATTAACTCCACTGCTGTTCTTTGCCTTTATGTTTATCATCTCTTATCTGAACCATTGTAATAAAGGTAATTTCCTATCCTATCTCTTTCTTCACCTCTTATCCATGCTCCCCAGAGCTCCCACGGTGACACTCCTTTCACTTCCTTCTGTTCAAACCTTATGGGTTTTTTTTTTTAAATGCTGACATATAATTTTCATTTATATTCTTATAGTCATTATTCAGGTCAAGTCAGCAGAAAACTGCTTTCAGAGTTTCATTCATAGAACACACAGTGAAGACTCAACATATCTAATATCAAAGTGACTAGTACCAAATGAAAAATTTAATTGTTGTGGACTCGAAAACTGGTTTAAAAAAAAATTGGTCAAATGGCTGGGCACAGTGGGGCATGCCGGTAATTGCACCTACTCAGGAGGCTGAGGCAGGAGGATTGCAACTTTGAGGTCAACCTCAGGAAGATCCTGTCTCAACATAAAATAAGAAAAGGGTTGGGAATGTAGCTCAGTAGCAGTGTACTTGCTTAGCATACAAGAAGCCCTGGGCCTCAATTCCTAGTAACACACATATACACACACACACACACACACACAAAAAAAATGTTGTATATCTACATACCTCAATGCCTCAGTGGCTTAAAAGGTAAAACAAATGAGTGACGAGCAGAGAACAAGAGGATTGTGGAGAATTGAAGAATATATGCCCCACTTCAGAAATAATCAAGTTCAACTGCCCACTGTGGCATACTCCTGTAATCCCAAAGGCTGAGGCAGGAAAATGGTAAGTTTGAGTCCAACCTCAGCAATTTTGTGAAACCCTGTCTCAAAATAAAAAGTAAAAAGTTGGGAGTATGGAGCTCAGTGGTAGAATGTCACTGGGTTCAATCTCCAGTACCACCAAAAATAAAAATTAAAAAAAAAAAAGATTAATTCCAGAAATTCAAAAGGCTAAGGGTTGGGCTGGGGTTGTGGCTCAATGGTAGAGTGCTTGCCTATCACATGTGAGGCCCTGGGTTCAATCCTTAGCACCACATAAAAATGAAATAAAGATATTGTGTCCACCTACAACTAAAAAATAGATATTAAAAAAAAAAAAAGAGGCTGAAGGCTGAGGCAGGAGGATCATAAAGTTCAAGGTCAACCTCATCTACTTAGCAAGATTCTCAGCAATTTAGCCAGACTCTGTCTCAAAATAAAAAATAAAATGAACTGGGGATGTACCTTAGTGGTAAAGTGCCCCTGGTTCAATTCCCATACCAAAAACAAAAACAAAAAAAAAAAGAAATAATCAAGTTCAAAGAAATTGAAAACACTGCAAAGCAAACTACAAAATAATACAAAATCATTTCTGTAGGTTTTCAGCTTGCCAACTTTGGCAGAGTATGGATAAAAAATCTTCAGCACAGCATTAATAGCTTCCAATAGCTTCCATAATCTGTACCTGCTCAACTGGGTCCTCCCTTTGTCCATCTCCCACCTTGCAGCCTAGGTTCCAATCACAGACACCACCATGTTGTTTGTTGTCTCCTCTGGCCTTTACCACTTTCCCCACCTAGAATTCTTTCACTCTCCTTAGCAGACCTTTATTACCTAATCTCCAGTGAGATTTTGAAGCTGAACTCTGAACATAACAGCTTCAATACCAAGACACTTCAAACACAATTTTTTTTTCAAACAAAAAACTCTTTTCTTTGAAAGGAATAAGATTAGAAATGGGAGTGCAGTTAGGAAACTACTGCAATAGACTCAGAAAGAAATGATAGTGAATGAATGAATGAATGAATGACCACCTTTTCATCATTTGAATGAATGAATTAATCACGGACAAGCTCCCTTCTAGCTTCATTACTCTTCATCTGGCTTAGCTCTTACATAACCTTCCTCATTCCCACATGGTTCCATCTACCCCCGCTATGTTCTTTGATCCTCTGAGCCCTAAGAGTTGTTTAGGAGAGACAGACATTTATTTTTAGGTTTATAGGAAAGAAGACAGTCACCCTTGGTCCTTCTAGGCTCAGAATATGTTCCCTATTTCTTCCAAAACTCTCTTCTTTTAGTTCTTCCACTTTGGTACTCACCCATCTGTGCCTCTTTTTCCCCAATGCTCTTTCTATACCAGATGCCTACATTACTCCCCATGACTTTCCCTTCTTAACCAACTCCCTCCAACCCCTAGCAATTTCCAACCACTTACCTCCTCCCCACCTTAGGCAACGAGCCAGATCATTTCCAGTGCCCAGGGGCAACACAGCAACAGGAGGTACAACAGGCAAGTTGATTTTGTCTGGGGAGGCAGGTGAAGAGATATATGGGGAGAGTGGTTCTGGAAGACCACTGCCCCCATATTCCGCCTAGAGCTTCTCCTTGCACTGACCAATGGCCTCTAGAATCCAGCCTACTGTGCCATCTCCACCACACACCAAAATACGGCTGTCAGGAACATCTTTGAAGAATCTGAGCCTGAGACAAAAGGGGAGAGAGAAAAGATGAAGGATAATAGGACTGAGGTTATCTAATTCCTGGACAGCAGATTACTTCTTTTTTTTTAAATATTTTTTTTAGTTGTAGATGGACACAATACCTTTAGTTTATTTATTTTTGTGTGGTGCTGAGGATCAAATCCAGGGCCCAGCAGATTATTTCTTGTGTCTCATTCATATTACCTTTTTCCCCTTTTTCAAAAGACTTGAGTTTTGGGCTGGGGATGTAGCTCAGTGGTAAAGTATTTCCCTAACATGCCCTGGGTTTTGTCCCAAGCACCTTAAAAAATGATTAATTTTTTTTTTAATTTGCTTTTTTTGTTGGTACCAGGCATTGAACCTGGGTTGCTAAACCACTGAGTCACATCCTCAGCCCTTTTTTGTGTTTTATTTAGAGACAGTGTCCCTTAAGTGTTGCTTAGGGCCTTGCTAAGTTACTGAAGTTGGTTGGCTTTGAACTCATGATCCTCCAGTCTCAGCCTCCCAGGTTGCTGGAACTACAGCTATGTGCCACCACACCTGGCCATAAATTATTTATATA